AAAGTGTAACAAAGACAGTATAACATAAATATTACAAATTAATCACAAAATTTATCATTTAAAAAACTGTATTAAAATATACATTGGTTGTCATCTTTTTTCGTAGCCGATAGAAGATTACCTCTATACTTGTCTTTCAAAAATGTGTCATCCAAAAAAAAGTAGTGAACGACAATAATTAAACCCATGAATACAACCCTTAAAGAAAACAAACAGTCTTTTGAAACGATTAGTCTCATGATCACAATCTAACACAATATGGCTGGCCGGATTAATACGATTTGCTGCATCGATATNACACAAACCTGGAAAAATAAAGCACATACAATATTAGTGAAAAATTAAAACAAAAAAACAGTGTAACTGATGAGATGGTAATTTCAAAACAATTTTGGGTGGTGAATGTAATAATCCACTATTTCAAATTAAACCATGTGTGTATACTCACTATTAAATGTTCTCATATCATAGTGTAACAATATAACAAACAAAGTGTAACAAAGACAGTATAATATAAATATTACAAATTAATCACAAAATTTATCATTTAAAAAACTGTATTAAAATATACCTTGGTTGTCATCTTTTTTCGTAGCCGATAGAAGATTACCTCTATACTTGCCTTTCAAAAATGTGTCATCCAAAAAAAAGTAGTGAACGACAATAATTAAACCCATGAATACAACCCTTAAAGGAAACAAACAGTCTTTTGAAACGATTAGTCTCATAATCACAATCTAACACAATATGGCTGGCCGGATTAATACGATTTGCTGCATCGATATTCCAACATAATTATTGGTACGATACTGAATGGTCTCCAAAAAGCATGCATTTTGCTTTCTCAACTCCTTCAAATATTTTATCATAAGAAAATGGTGAGTTCATAATCAGAAAAAAAATCAGCAACCACTTCCGTTGGACGTGTTGTCCTATGCCCATGATTACGATCAACAATTAGATTTACANACAAAGTGTAACAAAGACAGTATAATATAAATATTACAAATTAATCACAAAATTTATCATTTAAAAAACTGTATTAAAATATACCTTGGTTGTCATCTTTTTTCGTAGCCGATAGAAGATTACCTCTATACTTGCCTTTCAAAAATGTGTCATCCAAAAAAAAGTAGTGAACGACAATAATTAAACCCATGAATACAACCCTTAAAGGAAACAAACAGTCTTTTGAAACGATTAGTCTCATAATCACAATCTAACACAATATGGCTGGCCGGATTAATACGATTTGCTGCATCGATATTCCAACATAATTATTGGTACGATACTGAATGGTCTCCAAAAAGCATGCATTTTGCTTTCTGAACTCCTTCTAATACTTTATCATAAGAAATGGTGAGTTCATAATCAGAAAAAAAATCAGCAACCACTTCCGTTGGACGTGTTGTCCTATGCCCATGATTACGATCAACAATTAGATTTACAACCAATTTAGAACTCATTCGCTTGTTATCTGTCGTTCGTACATACACACCACAAATGTGTTCGTTGTCCAATTTTTTAATATAAAAAAATCTAGTTGCTCTCTCCACAGTTGCATTTATATGTCACCTACAACCCTTAGAATACTTAAATGAACATTTAGCAATAACCCTTACTTTACAATTCTTTACATAATTAAATTCAAAATTACACTTAATCGAGCATTTGCAAAGTACTTACCGAAACTGTACCACACCACCTTCAAATTTCTGTCCTACTCGCCGTATTTCATTACTCCACCCAGCTGTTCGAAGAACTTTCTCACTGTGACCAATAGAACTGGGTACCAATTCCATTTCGCATTCAACAACATCACCAATATTCATTTACTGCAATGAATCATCATCACCCACCGACCCGCCCTCGATATCTTCCACAAACACATTAACTTCAACGTAATTCCCTGGCAAACAAGGTTTCAATTCAACCAAATTCTTCAAATCACTATCGATTCGTAACATGCAGGAGGAGTGACCAAGAATAGAATATGACATATGTACTGACAAGTTAAACAACTCCTCCCACGTCTCGCAAACTTCGCGAACAAGCTTCGATATATTTGAATTACCACGTACTTTGAATACTTTAGTATTATTACCATATGTACATAACAACAACATCGTTTCCTCCATTGCCAACAAAATCTCAAACTATTAAAAGAATAGATATAATAAAAAGTCAAAAAAAATACATATATCAAAACAAATAAAAACTGAAAATAATTATACATATTAATTTATTATGGTAATAGGTTAAATGTAACATACCTTGAAATTCCTGTTATGATACTGTCAGGCTAAATGCTTCAGTATTCGGCTAGAACAAAATCTCAAACACATACGTTTTGTTTGTTTTGTTATATCTTCCACAAACACAGTTGTCATGTGAATGAAGAACAATATGGGCTTGCAAATGGAAGTAGAAGAAGATAAAAATTAAAAGATTAAAGAATAAAACCACCTTGCAGGTGACGAAGAAAATCGACTTTAGTCCTAAAGAAACTCTGCTTAATACACAAAAATACCAGTGTGTATTTTTCGGCTTCCCCCTTATATATATACCAGTGTCATGTCGATGTCGATGAAGACCAATATCGGATTGCAGCTGGATGGAGAAGAAGCATAACTCGCCTCAAGGCTTGAAGAAGCAGCAAANTTTTTTGTTATATCTTCCACAAACACAGTTGTCATGTGAATGAAGAATAATATGGGCTTGCAAATGGAAGTAGAAGAAGATAAAAATTAAAAGATTGAAGAATAAAATCACCTTGCAGGTGACGAAGAAAATCGACTTTAATCCTAAAGAAACTCTGCTTAATGCACAAAAATACCAGTGTGTATTTTTCGGCTTTCCCCTTATATATATACCAGTGTCATGTCGATGTCGATGAAGACCAATATCGGATTGCAGCTGGATGGAGAAGAAGCATAACTTGCCTCAAGGCTTGAAGAAGCAGCAAAATCGTCTTGCAGGTGATGAAGGAAAATCGACTTCAGTCAATAATAATACTAGAAATATACCCAGCTTCATGAAGAAAAATACAACCGTATATTTCCCTCTTAAAAAGCTAAAAATAATAGTGTATTTAAAATTTAAAATTTTATTGAAAAGTGTTGTATTTCTCTCTCATAAAACTAAGACTTATTTAATACACAAATATAATTTGAAAACTAAACCCTTTTTAATAAAAAATTACACATTCACCGATGGAGGGCAAAAATGTCACAATAAAAATAGATAAATTCAAATTATGTATTTGAATACAAATAAGTATCAAAATTAAGTACTTAATAACCTTATATTTTTTAGTGTGTATTTTTTGCCAAATAAGTCTAATTTGGTATACCCCTTACAATTTACCAAAAAAAAAAAAAGGGGGGGCCCCTAATTATGTTTATGATCTTCACCTATTATTTTAGCTCAAAAAAAAAATATTTTAAACACAAAAGACCTAATTATATATAAATTCTTAAANTATTATATTTCTCTCTCATAAAACTAGGACTTATTTAATACACAAATATAATTTGAAAACTAAACCCTTTTTAATAAAAAAAAATACACATTCACCGATGGAGGGCAAAAATGTCACAATAAAAATAGATAAATTCAAATTATATATTTGAATACAAATAAGTATCAAAATTAAGTACTTAATAACCTTATATTTTTTAGTGTGTATTTTTTGCCAAATAAGTCTAATTTGGTATACCCCTTACAATTTACCAAAAAAAAAAAAAGGGGGGGCCCCTAATTATGTTTATGATCTTCACCTATTATTTTAGCTCAAAAAAAAAATATTTTAAACACAAAAGACCTAATTATATATAAATTCTTAAAAAAAGTTCAAGTAAAACCGAGAGGCTCAACCATATTTTTCCAATGGTCAAATCACTAAAATATCAAATGTTGCAATACATTTAAATTCTCTCTCTCACTTTCTCTCTCTCTCACACACACACACACACTATCTAGTTTGAATTGAAAAAAAATTGTATACTTAGTTACCCGTATCACTAAAAAAAACTCTTTTCTTTCTCATGATCTGTATATACACATACAAACATCAATAAATTATTTTTTATATTTTTAGAATATAATTATTTAATTCAATTATTTTTTTGTGAAGGAATAATTTATTGGACAATTTAAAAGATGAATAAATAGTCAATTTATACAATCTCTATTTATCACGTATTATTGTTCCATTTTTATCAAACATTCTCTTAGTATAACCATTTATTGTTTTAACGCTTTGTTTTTCTTACAAGAATTTTGGATTTTGAATAAATCAACTATAAAAATATGAATCCAAATATTAAAAACACAAAACTTGAATAAAATATCCTAATAAAATGTGAATATCAAAAATTAATCACTAATTTTACATCACAAAAAATGAAAAAAATAAATTTTAAATTAAATTTAAACGTATGTTAAAATTATATTTATAATAAATTTTTAAAAGACTCTATTTATAATTTTCACTCGGGCTTTAGCTTTTGTCGGGCGGCCCGACCATACCTTGTTTTAGCCTAAATTGTTTCCTTTTTATTCATAATCTTCATTTGGGGCATATAATAAACACGTGGCTTGAACAAAATAAGATTCGGTAAATATTTTATTTTTATTATAAAATAATTTTTTTATTATAATCACACCATCCGCTGATTTAATTCAAATTTTTAAACATTAGTCCACGTCACCGTGCAATAGGTGTCCACGTCACTATCTTATTTACTTGTGCACTATTTCCAAGAAAGTTTGTATCCGTTAGACACCACAACACTCCAACCACAGANCTCACGGCCCGGAAGTCCAACGAAGCTAACAGGCAGCCCAATTCATACACGTTGCAGGGCTTGGGTAGCCCGCTAGTCTGGCAGATAGACCTGAGTTGTGTTTTTAGGGCCGGCAGTCCAGTGGGTCGGCCCGTTGACTAGCTCGTTAGTCCGCCCGTTAACCTAATAAAATAATTAGATTATATTTNCGAGATGTCTCTGTCTTCGGCCGAGAAGGGGTCTAAGACAAAAACAGTGTGTTCTGGGGTTACCGGAGAGTTACCGGAAGTTACGGTGACGGTGGAGGTGGAGGTGGAGGTTGATTCAGAAATGACACCGTTTTCGACGCCGTGTGATTCACCTTTGTTTTTCACTCCAATGGCTTCTCCGGTCAGGGATGTTGACGGCCGTCAATAGAAAGTGGTATTTGTGCTGATGAACCGATGTATTTTGATACTTATAGAGGTCCGTGGGGATCGATAATGGCGATCGGAAGGTACTTCCGGTGGGTAGACATGCTGTGGTTTTTTTGTATTTTCTGATGAATCTTGATTTTGACGTTTTACTTTCCCTATCTGTTTGCATGGAGCTTTCTGGTGAACATTAACACCGCTACAAATCAACCATGACTGTAAAGTGAAGATAGTTGGTGAAAGACAGTTGACGTATAATGTACTCAATTTTCAATTTAATGCAGTCCATTACGTATTGACTACTGATAGAATTGACCATTGAGCGACCACTTATGATCAGATAATGACATGCTTATGAAGATAATTATTAATGCACTGGGAAGTAGTAAATACATAATCCCAAAGTTTCGGCTTAAAACTAGATTGGCCTCGCCAAAAAGCCCAAATTCCAATGAGCCGCCCACGGCCCGGAAGTCCAACGAAGCTAACAGGCAGCCCAATTCATACACGTTGCAGGGCTTGGGTAGCCCGCTAGTCTGGCGGATAGACCTGAGTTGTGTTTTTTAGGGCCGGCAGTCCAGTGGGTCGGCCCGTTGACTAGCTCGTTAGTCCGCCCGTTAACCTAATAAAATAATTAGATTATATTTTATAATTGTATTATTTATTTGATCTTTAATCTATAACTTTTGTAGGTTGAGATTTGTAAATGATTGACAATTGTGTAAGTGTCAACCTAATTATGACATATTCAATTTATAGTAATACAAAATAGTCTCACCACTAATCAAATTGTAATGTAACATTGTAACTCTACATGAATATTTGTTAAATTCAATCAATATGAATAATATTGTTGTTACTTTATCTTTTCATACTAATTTCATGTAATTGATTATATCTTTTTGTACTTTTTATATTAAAAATAAATTTGTCGATGTCTTTTTGTATGTTTTTACATAAAAAATCTGTTTCAGGCCCAATTGGCAGGCCATAAGGCTCGGCCCATATTTAGCCCCTTTTTGGCTCCATAGGCCGGGAAATGGGCCTAAAAAATTTGTAATGGGCGGGTCGGACCCAAGTCGGCCCGTTGACTAATGCAAACCCAAAGGCCCGGCGCACAGGCAGGTAAAAAATCTCAGGCAAAGCTGGCCCAGCTTGACCGGTTGCCAAGGCCTAAAATTAGGACCATAACTTAGACCCAAACTCGACCTGAACTTGTTATCGGACACCAACCCCAAACTCAAAACTAGAACCCTACCTCCACTACAGGAAAAATAGATACAGCCGGCATTTAGGAGAAAAACAGTTGTTGTTTGATAATTACCAGCATTTATTAAACGCCACGAATTCTTGACTAATTTAAATTAAGTCCTAATAAACCCCACTATTTCCGGCATTTATTAAACGCCAAAAATTTTTCTAATTTAAATCCCTTTCTTTCAACAAACTTCTCCACATCTAGGAGCATGATGCACTTGGTTTTGCTTGCCATAGGAGTTACGTTCTTGGGCTAGCCTCCATTATTGCTTNTTATAATTGTATTATTTATTTGATCTTTAATCTATAACTTTTGTAGGTTGAGATTTGTAAATGATTGACAATTGTGCAAGTGTCAACCTAATTAGGACATATTCAATTTATAGTAATACAAAATAGTCTCACCACTAATCAAATTGTAATGTAAAACATTGTAACTCTACATGAATATTTGTTAAATTCAATCAATATGAATAATTTTGTTGTTAATAATTTTTCTAATTTAAATCCCTTTCTTTCAACAAACTTCTCCACATCTAGGAGCATGATGCACTTGGTTTTGCTTGCCATAGGAGTTACGTTCTTGGGCTAGCCTCCATTATTGCTTAGCTAATAAGGCTAAGTTAAACTTTTCTAGTTCTCTGAAGCCCAATCCTCCTCCCCATTTCCTTCTTGTGAGGCGATCCCATTTGTTCCTATGGATGCCTTTCTCTCCTGAGCTCTTGCTCCACCAAAATCTTGATATGCAGGCAGTGAAGTCTTGTTTTAAGGAATTTGGCAATTTAAAGATACTCATTGCATAAGCTAGGATGACTTGTACCACTGATTTGATTAGAGTCTCTCTGCCCACGTGATTTAGGAAACATTCTTTCCAACCTTCAACCTTTGATTGGATTCTTCCCTTAATCCAGGACACAGTTTTCTTTTTTGATCTCCCCCATTCAGTTGGAAGCCCTAAATACTTGTCTGACCTTGGTGCAACTGGAACTCTTAAGATGTTTGATATCTACTGTTGAATATTGATTTGGGTATTATTACTGAAGATCACAGTAGACTTGTTAAGGTTTACAAGTTGGCCAAAACATAGCAATATTTGTTTAGGCAGTCCCTTAGAGTTAAACAATCAGCCTTACTAGCACTGAAGAATAAGATGGAATCATCTGCGAAGTCGGTGTGAAAGTTTTGGTCCATTTCTGCTAATCTATATATACCTTTCAGCCTATTAGACTATATTGCCTTGTCAATCAGCATGGTCAAGCATTTCGTAACAAGAACGAATAAGTAGGGGACAGAGAGTGCCCTTATCTTATACCCCTGGATGGTGTAATTCTTAGAGCTTTATTCCTATTCACTAGGACATTGTATCTCACTGTCATGCCACACTGAGTGACCAATCTCACCCATTTCGGATTAAAACCCAGTTTAAGCAAAGTGTCCTCCAAGAAATCCCACTCTCGTAAATGAAATTGCAACTTATAGGTCTAAATTCCCCTTCCTTCTCTGGGTGTTGAGTCTTAGACACCAAGACTGGATTAGTTTCATTGAACCCCTTTAGAAGGTAGCCAGACAGAAAGAAAGCTTACACCACAACAGCTACATCATCCGTAATAATGTTCCAATATCTCGGGTAGAATATAATCCAGATAAAGCGTCAGGGCCTGGAGCTTTTAGGGAACCCATCTTGAAGACTATATTCTTTATTTCTTCCAAGGAGGAGGGGCCTAACAGGTATGCATCCATAGTAGGAGACACAATCTGGGGGTTTCTTGTAATGTCTGGGAATAGTTTCTCCTCCCTTTCGAACAGAATAGGTTGTGAAAATGGCCTTTAATGATTGTTTGAATATGATCAGGCTCCATAGCCCATTCATTATCCAAGGTTTTTAGCGTAACTAACTTGTTCCTCTGCTTTCGCTGGACCGTGGTTGCATGGAAAAATCTTGTGTTTCTATCAACCCATTTGAGCCACTTCAACCTAGATCTGTGTCCCCAATACTTCTCTTCCTTTTGCCATAAATTTTCTATCTCCTTTTTAACGCCCTTGGATACAACTCTAGTGCCTTCTGTGGCAGGAGCATTATGGAGGTCCACCAACATGTCCTTATGTTTCTCTATCTATCTTCTATTGTTTCTGAATTTTGCAGAGCTCCAGCTAGCTAGACACTGTGCACAACTTCTGAGTTTCTGTTTTTGTTTGTACATCTTGGAACCTCGGGCATCACCTTTCCAATTTTGTTGTACAAACTCCAGGCATTGCTCTTCCTCAATCCATGATGCTTCAAGTCTAAATTGTCTCTTGTTCTTACTGAAGTTGGGTTCTGTAACAAGGATTAGGGGTGAATGATCTGAACCTAATGCAGGTGGGGCATAGACCATGGCGACGGCCTAACATGTTGGAATAGTTTAAAGAGTAATGCTGCATTGATCTAATTTTAGGACCAAATTTAGAGCCCAAATGACATGACAGTTGATTATTTGAAGTTTTTATTGGGGCCCAAAAGACATGACAATAATCAAAAAAACTCAAGTCAACTGTCATATCATTTGAGCTTTAAATTTAGTCAAAAAATTTGTTCAGTTTAACATTATTGTAGTTTAAAATGTTGCTTGGGTTTCGGTTGAAAACAATGATGAGATTATTTTTTGGATTAATCTTAAATTACACCCTGAAAGATTGTTCAAATCTCAATTTGAACTTTCAAAAANAGGGCCTAACATGTTGGAATAGTTTAAAGAGTAATGCTGCATTGACCTAATTTTGGGACCAAATTTAAAGCCCAAATGACATGGCAGTTGATTATTTGAAGTTTTTATTGGGGCCCAAAAGACATGACAATAATCAAAAAAACTCAAGTCAACTGTCATATCATTTGAGCTTTAAATTTAGTCAAAAAATTTGTTCAGTTTAACATTATTGTAGTTNAAGACATGACAATAATCAAAAAAACTCAAGTCAACTGTCATGTCATTTGAGCTTTAAATTTAGTCAAAAAATTTGTTCAGTTTAACATTATTGTAGTTTAAAATGTTGCTTGGGTTTCGGTTGAAAACAATGATGAGATTATTTTTTGGATTAATCTTAAATTACACCCTGAAAGATTGTTCAAATCTCAATTTGAACTTTCAAAAATAAAAAATTTCAATTTGCACCTTCAAAAATAAAAATTTATATCAATGCGCACCTCAAACTAACGGCCGTCAGTTTGTCGTCTAAAACTAAATGAATAAATTACGCCTAAACCCCCTCATACTTATCACTTAATCACCNTTTCAATTTGCACCTTCAAAAATAAAAATTTGTATCAATGCGCACCTCAAACTAACGGCCGTCAGTTTGTCGTTTAAAACTAAATGAATAAATTACGCCTAAACCCCCTCATACTTATCACTTAATCACCTGAACCTCTTACATTTGAAATATTATGCTTACATCCCTTGAGATTTTAAATGTGACTAAAAATGTTCTCCTAATTGAGCATTCAAATAATTTTGTTTAAATGATGTATTGCATTGAATATAAAGAACATTATATAAATATTTGCATTATATTGGACATTCAAATGATAAACTTCTTTTTGATCTTTAACATATAACGAACCTACAAAATAAAGAGTAGTATGAAATTATAATTTTTTATTAGAATGAAATTATATTTTTTTAACGGTTATATTAACAGATATCAATAACAAGTGTTATACGTGCACAAACGTCAAGAGGTGTTTGAGTAATATTATAAATATAAAGAGGTCCAAATGTTTAAGTGACAAGCACGAGATGATCTAGGTGTAATTTATCCATTTAGCTTTAGACGGCAAACTGACGGCGGTTAGTTTCAGATGCAAATTGATACAAATTTCTATCATTGAGGGTAAAAATTAAATTTTTTTATATTTGAGGGTATAAATTGAGATTCGAACAATCTTTCAAAGNTAATACAA